GGAGTGCTGCTCGAAAGGCTGTTTTCCTTTTTTTGGATCTGCCGTACTTTTTTTGCTTTGAGTCGACATTAAGAGGTATTCTTCTCCTCTCCTCTATTTTACATCATTTCGGATGGCATGAAATATAAAAGCATGAAATATGGCATGAAATATAAAAGTTTATTTTGAAGCTTAAGCATGAGTATTTGCTTAGAATGGTGAGAAATGAATCATGCATATATATGGATCACCTCTACTTTTCTTTTGCTTGAAACACTTGAAAATATGGCTAAGGTGGTCTTGGAATGCATTTTACTCCTTTAGAAATACATATGGAAAAGCATGTTTGAGACCTGTCTTTATTACCTTCGTTGCTTGAAATATTTGGAAGTATGAAATGCATGCTGGAAATTATTTTATGAGATGGAACAATGTGTTTGAGGCTTATTTCATGCTTCTCTTGCTGCCCCTTACTAGAGTATATGCCGGAAATTTGTCTATGGAAAGATATGTTTGAAGATATGTTTGAGGGCTTATTTCATGCTTCCTGTTTTGCCCCATGTATTGGACTAGGTTTGCCCTTTTCTTGGGCTCGGTTTTGGCTTTATAGAATCTGACTTTTATGACTTTGTTTTGACTCACTTAGTGAGTTCGATTTACTTGGAATATTTCTCTGTTTTTGCTCCCTTTTGCTAGATTCGGTTTTTCGGTTTTGCCCATTTGCTTTGCCCATTTGCTGAGCTTGGTTTGCCCCTCTCTTGGGGTCGATTTGGGCTCTATTTTGGTGATTTAGGTTGGCTGAAACTCTCACTGTTTTAGGTCTTTTCTTGGGTTTGGTTTGCCCCTGTGCTGGGCTCGATTTGCCCCTGTGCTGGGCTCGGTTTTGCCCATTTGCTGAGCTTGGTTTGCCCCTCTCTTGGGGTCGATTTAGGCTCTGTTTTGGTGATTTATGTTGACTGAAATCTCTTACTGTTTTGGATCTTCTCTTAGGCTTGGTTTGCCCCAGTGCTGGCTCCGTTTTTCCTTTACCGGGGGGTGGGTCCTTTCTACTGGGTTTGGGTTAGCCTTGTTGAGAGAATGGTTTGGTAGCTTTGTTGGCTTAGTAAACTTTGGTTTGCTGCTTAGCCGTGAGTCTCATTTGGTGTTTACTACCTTTGAGATTGTTCTCGGGTTGTCTTTGACCGTGAGTTGGATTTGAAGTTGTTTTGTTGTCTTTGTGATACATGTGGCTTTACTCTTGAGCCCTCCTCTCTTTTGGCTCCTACTCTTGAATTAATTGGAGCTTGGTTGTGCTCGTTCTCACCTTACCCATGAGCCCTCCTCTCTTTTGGCTTTACCCGTGAGCCCTCATCTCTTTTGGCCTTACCCGTGAGCTATAATTTGTGATCTCTTGGTGGAGTAGATTGGGTTGGTGGTTGTTTCTCTCTATTGTCTTGGACACTTATATGGATAAATTCATGTTTAAAAAAAAATGATGAAAAGCAAAGAGCTTTTGCTTAAAAATGGAGTTGAATGGAATTGGTATTTGTATAGCTTTTGAAAATTTGGAAATTCATTCTCTATGGATTATTCTCTTTTGCTTTGTGACATATGATAAGTTCTTTCAAGAAATTGTAAACTTGATATAAATTGAATTCATAAAGGGGTTTGGAAATTCATAAAATTGTTATGCGTTGATTCATTTATGAAAAGTGAGAAGATGATACCTTTCTAAGATTGATTCAAGGATCTTGAGGCCTTATTTAATGAAGTTCAAATTGCATTTTTTAGGCTTTATTCATTAAAATTTGATTTACATGTTGAGACTTTCATATATCAATTTGAATATTTTAAGTGTTGATCTTTGGAGATCACCTTTTTACCTTTTTACGAATTTAAACGTTTTTTTAGACCGATACATTCATGATTTCGTTTTAAGCTTTACTGATTTAACTTTGTTTTAAAAATGGATCGGTCTCTTCTTCGTTCATTTTGTTTTTTTTTTTAACGGTCAAGTTAAAAATGAGAATTTCCGATTTAATTATCTTTAGAAATAATTCATAGTCTTAAGGGAAATATGAGGGGAAGAGAAAGGGAGAGGAGAGAAGATTGAAGAATGAAATTTGGTTCTTTGAGATGATAAAACCTGAGAAGGGGATAGAATAGTAAACCATTCACTATTTCTTATGTGTAGGAAAGATAAAATTATAATTGGAAAAATAGTTGAGAGTTGGAAGAAAGTGAGAGTTTAGATAACGATTAGGAATATGGATTGAAAAACCAGTAGACTTGCATTTAGGTCTCTTAAGCTTTGAATAAACCTGAACCCAAATGCTTTAACTAGGATTGAAGCACATTTCACACCCCTTTTGGCAAAAATTATAGGTTTACCCCTAGGTCTTAGGAGCCTGATAGCGAGTTAAGCTTGATCTAAAGATGTTCGAGGATCAGTTGAAGACACTTAATTGAAGATAGACACTTTAGAACACTTCAGACTCAAACTAAAGTGTAGGCTTCCTAGGTCATAGGAGCACACCCTGAGAAATAGTTTATCATCCTAATTTTCAAATGAACCTAAGAAGCCAGACATTTGACCCTAGTTGATAAGTTAATTAAGACACTAGACACGAGAGTGCACTAGATTGTGATTCATGACTGATTTAATTAAATCAAATAATGAAATTCCTGTCTTAACTTGACCAAAATTGAAACTCAATGCTCCAGGATTTGAGTTTGTCTTACACTCAGATCCTCCTGGCGATTGGGGACATCCTTAATATCACATATAAATCTTCTATTTTTGGTTCTTTATATGTGATATTGTATTTTGTTTTATTTATTTGTCTTTTTCTGCAATTTACCTGCTTTTCTCAAGTCTTTTTCAGGTTATATTTTCTTCTTTTACACAGCGCATAATAGCTAAACTTAAAGGAGTAAAACCTCTCAGGTGTACAGGTTTAATTTACATTACAATATTTTATTTCACAGCATGTTATATTGTTCTCATAGCTTGTTATACTCTTCTTTCAGCATGCTATACTGTCTTTTCTTTCTACTGTACACTGTACTGTTCCTTTCTTTTATACTGCATGTTTAGTTATTTTGATACACACTATGCCTTAGTTTAGGAAAACCTAGTGGTTAGGTGTATTTTCAAAACTAAAACTAAACCAGGAGGTGCTACTACGAAGAGCTTGGAGCTAACATCGTGGGCAGAGCGAAAAGGAACAACTTCAAGGTGGACCTGCAACAGCAAAAATGTCAAAACACATCACATAAATATTTTCACGTCACCTATCACTTCATTTAGTTTAAATAATAACCCATAGGATCACTCTTTAGGCTTTTTTGCACAACTCTGTTGTGCAATTATAAGTCCTAACACTTTAGGATTTCGAGGTTACCGTGCGGTACGGTGTAAATCCTTCTATCTTTTTAGGCTATTTGCACAGTTCGATATTGTGTAAACATAAGTCCTAAATCATAAATAATTTGCAGGATTGAAATGTCAAATTAAATCACTTCAAAATACATAAAACCAAACAATAGGATAGTTGGGAGTTCACTGGGGTTTTCCCCGGATCTGTGATATCCCCTACTTTTCTTCCCTTTGGATTCCTTAAATAATTGTTCCTATTTTGAGTCATTCCCATTTGATTTTCCCATGTCCAATCGTGAAAACCTAAACTTTGAAATCTTGAAAGCAAAACCACCTGATTTTAATCGAGAGTTTTCTTAAGTGACCCTCAGTCATTTAAGATGTGATTAACTATAGAGGTTTGCCTCTATAGAGAACCTGGAACCCAGATAAAATAAACTCTATCTAGTTTTTATGTTAGATAGGGGAACTTGTTGGTTTTTTTATAAAATATTTCGCAGACCAAAACGGATGTCACAAATTTTATTAGTTTAGGTGATTGAACCCCTATTACAAGTGATATATTTATTCTTCGGGATAAGTGTATTACTTGTAGTATTGTATTCAATCATTTAAACTATTTAAAATGTGAGACTCGTTTGGTTTCACCTATTTTAAAATTAAAATGTTACTTTTAAAAATAAAAAAAAGTGGTTATATTCATATTTAAATTATTTTTTTTGAAAATCACAAAATCATTTACTTTTTCAAATCACGAAGTTAAAAAAATGGCCGACACTCATAAGAGTCAATTCCTCAGTTTTTGAAGCTAATAAAATGAAGGCTTAATTACTGTTTAATTATTGTAAAAGCGCGTGCATATTAATTAATATGCTTTACATGGTTGCACAAATATTAAAGTAATTTTCCTTTATTTAAGAAATGACAACTTTCTTACTCCCAAAAATAATGATAACTACCTTTGAGCTTTTACAGCATTGACCATGGAAAGAAGATAAGACCGACAGATGTTTTAAAAACATGCATGCTTTTAATGTTTAGAAGTTGATGTCATCTGTTCTTTCGAATGAACTCGTAAAGTTTTGTTGTCTGGAGGGTAACGAACTCTTCTTTGTTTTACTGTCTTTAGTTAGGCTGACTCTTTTTTACTGCTGGAATATTAGCTTATTGTGACATCAGAAAGAGAGAAATTATGAGGAATTTACTCAAACTGAAGTCCATCCCTTGGAATAAAATAACATGAATCTGGGGAGGTCATTCACTTAATTTGGCCTTTTGAACTAGTTTAAATTGATTTTTGTCAATGAACAAGACGTTAGAAAAGGTTGAAAGTGCTGGAATTGAATTTCGGAAAAAATGCAATTGATTTTGCAAAGAGGTTTGTGATTGATTTTTATGTTGTATTGGGAGTTAGGAAATGAGTTCATCTTTTAACGTTTGAAAAGAAAATTGTCATCAGTTAGCCAGGATTGTGCTAGATATTCGTAAAAAACTCGGATATTTTATTTGTAGTTCTTTCAATCAAACATCTAAAGAACAATTCGAATTCTTCTTCTGGCTCAACCTTAAATTTTTACATAATATTTCAGTTGTCTTTCAAGAATTTTTATTCTTTGCCATTGCATGTACCATTATCAACATCAAACTTCTAACTATTTTTCAGCTTCACAAAGATTGCCCAATAGCAGAGGTTAGCCTGAGGCTTCCTGGGGATCACAACGTTCTCAATTCTTTAGCAGTTAAGTGCAATACATTACTGTTTCTGCTCCTTTTGAATCTACTGCAGTTTGTGAGAACTTCAGATTAATATATCATTTTCTTCTTTTTGTTTGCTTTAATAAGATCTGCTTGTAGCAAAATGATATACAAAGCCTTCTTTTGTCAAATAATAGATGATTTAAAAATTTTCTATGTTTAATTATGTTTATCTTGTTATCACATACTATGGAGCTTGCAATGTTAGAAAGTACGCCATTGCCTTGCTTGGAAGAATATTAAATCATTAAATATTGCGCTCGAAGAGTAAGGTCAGCTTGCAGAGTTGGGTCAAAGTTACCATCCCACACAAGGATAAAATAAAAACTCTACAGCCATTTGAGCAGGAGAATTAATTGGGATGAGGGAGATATGATGAATCTTTACAACACTATTTATAAGTATAAGTAAACTTACTGTAAATTAAATCAAGAGTTTTGGTTGCGGAGAAGAATAATTTACTATATCATACAAAATATTATTCCAAATGCCCATTTGAACTTTTAATCAGCAGTAGTGTAGATGACCTAATACAAAAAAGAGAAAAAGGAAAAGAAAGAAAGAACAATTAGTCATGCCAACTTTTCTTTCTCTCCAAATTTCATATACATATATTTTTCATTCAAAATACATCATTCTTGAGAACGTCATTACAATCACTCAAATGACCATTGCAAGGTACAAGCATATTAAATTTGCTAATATCTTTTTTTTTTTTCAGAAATACCTGCAGTGGAAATTTTTAGAACTTATTCACGTTGAAAAAGGTATTCATCAGGTTGCATATTTATGTTTTGGACGGAATAAAAGAATTTAGATACAAGAAGGTAATTAGATGCAAGAAGATTTATATGTCAAAGTTTCGGTCCTTTTGGAATGATGGATATTTTGGCAACTGTAATAACAAATTATGCAATACTGTTTCAAATTAAAATGACTCACTGAAATACCAGTTGAACGACCAAGAATGAATTCTGGATATTAACTGCGTCCAAATTGATTGTTCTAAAGTTTTGAAGTTTGTTATTCAGGATTTATTCTAGGGTTATTTCTTGTATTGTTGTCTTGAAACACTTGCTGTGTTCTGAAATCTTGAAATGTTGCCGTTTATCTACTTGGATTACGAAATAGTAGAATTTCAGAAGTTCCATTTCAGAGTGAACCTGTCCTCAACCATTTTTTGTGGACATGCTACTGTCAAGCCAAAGTTTTTTTAAGCCACATGAGAATCGTCAATCTTCTTCATGTCCCTCATGCTCAATAGGCATTATGATTTCTTCTCTCATTTTCAGGGGTTCCTACTAAATCAATAAATTATTATAATGGAGAAAATATTGGATTGACACCTATAAAATATAATAACTTAAATTAGACTTGCGATTTCAATACATACAAAACAAGCAAACATATGTTTATTAGATGGGTGTATAAATTAAATGTCAGAGGTTTGGAAGAAAAATTTGATTGACCTGAAATTGCATGGGTTGATTCAAATTTGTTTGTGGTGGACAATACCTAGACTTAATTGATGTAATTGTATAGAGAATAAAGAAGAGAAGAAAAGAATCTAGAGAGAAGCTTTGTGAGTTCACTACATTGCCTAAAAAATTTAAGATTAGTGACACTGATTTGTGACTCCTAGAATTATCCCTGGACCTCCTATTAATACATAAAAGGCGAGACATCTCCACAGGAAAGATTACATTCAAGAAAAAATAATAAATTATGTGATGAGGCCTTATGAAACCTTGTCATAAATTGATTCTTTTAAGCTATAGCTATACATTAGTGATTTCCAATTGAAGAGTGAACTCACATTAACTCATTGCCCCACTTCACCTGCTTGGGCCTAGCTTGGACGAGTAGCCATGCTGAGTGTTTGGGATAGTCATGTTTGCTTGGCCTCTGAGGCTGAATACAAGGGTAGGTATATTGAAAACTTTTAATTTTAAGAAAATTTCACAAAAAAATTGGGTTACCATGTATGGTTGGCGCCTAAGCCGAGAACAGTTTGCTGGAGTGCTTAGGGCGACTTTAGTATTGCTGGCAAGTTTACGAAAACAATATGACTATTGGTCAACTTTCGAGATTAAGTATGCTCGCTTATATGATTTTGGTGAATTCACTTTAGTTGGTTTGATTGGCTAGCACCGTTTGACTAGTTGAGTAGCCTCGAACTTGGCTCGACCGAATTTTTAGTGTATAGCATGGATAACAGTTGTTCAAAATGATTTATGAGAATATTTTTAATACCTCAAACAACACTTAGTAGGAATGAGTAGGAAATGAGAATTCATAGTGTTAACCTAAAATAGTTGGGATAAAGCTATTGATGATGATGATAATCCTTTTTTAAATAGCTTGATTGGCAGGTATAGTTGTCTCCCAACAAATCAATTCTCCTGCTTTATCTTCAACATAATATTAGATTATTTTGGTCTTTATTTTATATTGATGAATCGCACTCATTATTTTGGTACACTCATTATTTATTAAAATTCTATTTGTTTCTTGAGGTTTTGGTATTTTATAACTGAAGTGTTAGGATTATTTCACACATCATACCTTAGCATGTAAATGGTTAGGTAGTTATGAATCTCTATCTTCTTTATTTTTAGAGCAAAGTTCATTCTTCATGTATTTTTGTTTCTTCTCTGACTTTCAAGGTTATCGCCACAATTTCTAACTTGATGAAAGATGGAGACAATGTTTACGACACCATCGACTCGGTTAAGTACCACTTGAGCAAATTTGAAGGCATTTCCAGAAGATTTGATTTCATCGGTGAAGTGAATGGATGCCGCGTATATGAAGACTATGCCCATCATCCAACAGAGGTCCGTGCCACACTTCAAGCTGCGAGGCAACAGTTTCCCTTTCAGCCTTTGTGGGTTGTATTTCAAGCGCATTCCTTCAGGTTTATCTTTTCTTTCCAATTGGATTCTCTATATCTCCAATTTCTGATACCTTGATATGGTTTAACATTCTGATTCACTTATATGAATGGGTTACAGTCGTATTGCTGCCCTCATGAAAGATTTTAGCACTTCCTTCAATTATGCAGATTATGTAATTGTAACTGAGGTACTCAAGGATGGATTGACTTTTGTATAAATCTGTGGGGCATTTACATACATTCCACAAAATTCTTATCTATTTACATATCTAACACCTCTACCTTCATATTTACATGCATAAATCTCAAATCTTTATTACTATTGATGTGTCGTCAACAAAATTTTATCAAGCACGAATATCGATGTATTTTTTATAAATGATATTCCAAATTCATATTCAAGACCATTAGGGCTTCAATTTTAGCAATTTTATAGTCAAACTAACCGCCTCGACAAGGTGAATCTAATGATGTCAAAATTGGGTCAATCCGGGTCCAATCAAGCTCATATCATTGGAGGTTTTTTATCATTAATTCAATGATCAAATGAACTCCAAATGTGAGATATTTGTAGTCAAATTAAACGTCTCGATGAAAGAAATCCAACGAACCCAAGATCGTTAAATTTCGATGTCATAAAGGCACCTAAATTTTTAAAAAATCACTTTAATCAAGAGGGATCAACATGGATCGTCCGATCAGGTGGTTAGGAAAGTTGTATGCCAAAAGACAAAAATGCCCCTCCTTAAAAGGTTATAAATAGGTCTTCTCTCTTCACTTAGGAGGGAGGAGAAGAGAAGTATAATTCCATTGTCTGTTTTGAAGAGAAGATTCGGCGAGTAACCATCGGCCTCTGTAGTTGCCAATAACCGTCAACCACTACCTGCTTCCACCGACCACTGACCGACATCAACCACTACTTGCAACCGTTGTAGTCAAAATATTTATGTTTTGTCTAACACTTGCATTATCTTTATGTTTTATAAAAATAAATGCAATTATTACTGTAAGATTGTAACCCCATTTCTCCCTGTTGTGAGAGAAGAGCACACCTCTGTATTTATAATCACATAGTGGATTACTTTGGCTTGACTAGACCTTATGTTTTTCCCTCACAAGGTTTTTCCACGTATGCGCATAGAGGCATGCTCTTGCGCCTTGTGGGGAAAGGCAATAACAACCTGGAAGAAACTTTAATCTGTGGAGAAGTAGTGCGGCTCTTCTTTCCCCCTCAAATGGGCTATTTATAGTATTAATTTAGAAAAAAGTGATGAAAATTTCATATTATTTGAGTATTACTCTGCAAGAAAACTTGAGGGTGCGCGCAACCATGCTTGGGAATGGTTTCGCAGCCTCCCACACTTCGGCATCCACTTCCATGCCCAAAATTGTGCTGCCAATGTCCATGCCCCACGTTACGCGCGTGCGCACTCTTGTGCCCTGCACCTGCTCACCCTCTTGCGTATCATTACCTTTCAGCTCGCCTTTGTGCTTGCCTGCTGATCCCATTACATCCTTACACACATCATTGTACTCATTTGCTTGTATGCCCGCACATGTGGTTTTTTCCCTTCCAGGATTTTTCTACATAAAAAATCTTGACGTCTCATCCAACTTCATTGCTTTTATCTCTGTTTGATGTATCTTCATGCAATGCTAAGATTTTAATATATCACTCAACTATCATGAATTTTCTAGCAGACACAACTATATAAAAAATATCACTATTATTAAGGTTTTTAGTAATGAAATTACCTTTTGATGCATAGGTTTTTGACACCAAAGTGCTATAAATGTCGATATGAAACATTGGGTGTTATATATGTAATTACATAAGAACTGTGGTATGCATGTAAACTTACCTAAATCTATTTTGATTGGCAATTACTGACAAGCAAGCATGGTTTCTAGGTTTATTCTCCTAGAGAGAAAGATGAAGGTAAGGATTATGGGATGGAGCTAGCAACTACAATCAGTGGCCCAGCGTCTGAATATATTCCTAAAATGGTAAATAATGGCCATCATTTCTGTAATATTAATTGTTTTGCTCCTTTCATGCACTACAGAATGTGGTCATGGCTTTCCTTATTCTGTTGCTCTTTTGGTTAGGTGGATGTGCTCGAGAAATTAGTGCATGACATATCAGCACGAAGAAATGAAGAAACTGTTGTTTTCACCATTGGAACCAACAGTTAATATTTTAGTTATTTTTGTAGTATCATGCGACATGGGATAGCTCATTTTTAGTTGAAATTTTTGTAGTATCATGCATGATAATTGTTGACTAAACGGTTTTTAACCTTTTCTTTTTTAGATGAAATGGCAGCCCTGGGGCCAAAACTCTTGAGAAGGTTGCAGGAAATATCATGAAATATTCAGCAGAAAAAAAAGTGAGTTAAGAAGATGATTTCTAGTTCTGTTGTTTGTTATGATTCTGAATATATATCGCATGATAATTGATAGAAAAGCTACGATACATTTCTCGATTTGACGAATCTGGTATGTTATTTTTTCAGGTGAGGGATTATGAAATGGTGGAAAATTTGAGCTTCAGTTATAGATTCTAAGTTATTTGGCTGCTTAATCTTGTTTGGTCTTCTGAAGCCAAAACATTGTTGGACATTCAAACAATGTTTAATAGTTCAGCAGGATGCAGAATTCCTAATTTTTCTCCATTGTACTTTATTTAACTGTAATAAATCTCAATTTGTTGCACTTGTGAGCAAAGATGTTCATTGATTTTAATAATATGAGAATTTGTGGATTGTAATATTCAGTTCTCTTAGGATATTCAAAGGTAACTGGGAAGATACTGATATGAGATCCAACATTGTTGTCGAATTCCCGAGCGGGACCTCTGAATTCTCGGGAAATGGGCCCAATTTTTTAATCTGATTTTTGTTTCTTATTTCTAATCAAGTTATTTTCTATCAAAGAATTTTTATATATTTGGTATTTGAATGTTTGAGATCATAATTTTTGTATTTGCGTGTTTGAGGGTAAAATGCTACTTATGCTCATTCTAACAAAAGTACTGGTGATACATATATTCTTGCCCTATTTCTACCATAATATCATAAGAATGAATAGTAGATTCCGGTGCATCTCGACAGGAAATGAATAGTAGATTCCGGTGCATCTCGACAGGTACTGCTAGATAGTTATGTTTTTATACTCAGTTAACAATTCCAAAGAGCATCCAAACTATTGATGGTATACATAGCCTGTAGTTGATAAGGTTATAGTGAGGTGTACTGATTTTATAATTTTGTCTAATGTTTTACATCCACCGTCCTTTCCAGTAAACCTTTTTATCCATTAGTATCATTATTCTCCAACTAAAATCTATTCCTTCATTTGATATTCCTAAGTTGATCTTTCAAGAGAAAGGGACTAATTTGACACTTGGGATTGGAACGTTAAATAGTGGAATTTGGTGTTTGGATAGAGAGATGATGACTCTCTACTACATCATAAACGCTTGGGACACTCTTTTTTTAGTTTATTGAGTCTATTGTATATGTTCTTGTATGAAAGACAAATAAACACGAACTTATATGTGATGCTTGTGAGTTTGGCAAGCTTCCTAGGAGCTCTTATTTTAGTTCTATGGATAGGAGTTTTTATGTTTTTTATTTGATACATTCTGATATTTGGGAACCTTCTACGAGTTTGACAAATGGTTATTAAAATTTTGTGACTTTTATTGATTATTTTCATTATGTTACTTGGTTGTATCTGATGAAAACTAAGAGTGATGTCCTTCCTTACTTTAAAGATTTCCACGAGGCAATCGATACTTAATATGGTGTAGTAGTGATGGTATTGAGATTTGAAAAATTGACAGAGTACTAACAATGCATTTGATAAATATTTTTCAGCCCATGGGATAGATCATCAAATCACATTTTCATAAAAACTAACACAAAATTGAGTTTCATGCAGATTATCGCTAACTGAACGGTTTTTAAGTTTTTCATTTTTAGATGAAATGGCAGCCCTGGGGCCAAAACTCTTAAGAATTTTGCAGGAAATATCATGAAATATTCAGCAGATCAAAAATGGGGTTAAAGAAGATGATTTCTAGTTCCGTTTTTTGTTGTGCTTCTGAATATATATCGCATGATAATTGTTAAAAAAGCTACGACACATTTCTCATTCCCGATTTGACTAATCTGGTATGTTGTTTTTTCAGGTGAGGGATTATGAAAAGGTGGAGAAATTTGAGCTTCGGTTATAGAATCTAAATTTCTTTGGCTGCTTAATCTTCTTCGGTCATCTGAAGCCAAAACATTGTTGGACATTCAAGCAATGCTTAATAGTTCAGAAGGCTCCAGAATTCCCAATTTTTCTCCATCAGACTTTGTTTAACTGTAATAAATCTCAATTTTCCGGTGAGTTTTCGAGAAATGAGCCCATTTTTTTAAGAAAAAATTTGATTTTTGTTTCTTATTTATAATCAATTTATTTTCTATCAGATAATTTTATTTATTTTGTATGTGAGAGTTTGAGAACATAATTTTTATTTCGAGTTTTTAGAGACTTTTGGTTTGTTTATTTATATTTTGGAGAGGATGTGTCTGATTTACTGTTTTAGGAATTATGTATCACCTTTTTTTTTTTTTTTGGCAAGTGATGTGTCTTTATCTTGGTTAGGAGCAGATAAAACTACACACTATTTTGTCATTTGCCTCATTATTGTCGCTAGGGGTAGGTAGCTGCATAATGGTTAAACATGTTGCCTCGCTCCAAATGTCATTGATCTACCATATCTCATTCACTTAAAATTTCACAACTGCCTTCTCATTAAATATGCTTCCCAAACATCTTCTAGGAGCCCTACAATAGTATTATATGATATTAGAGATTGCCACTCTAAAAATTCTAGGGATTTGTTTTTCTACCCCCAAATCCAAAATTTCAAAAAAAAAAAAAAAATCTTCCATAATTAAAATTCAATCATCCTAATTTCATCAACATTCTACATAGATATTTACAACCAGACCCTACTCCCAATCCACTTTAATTTGCAATCTTACATCTGTTGAAAATTTGATTGGGGGAGAAAGATGTCATGCCACCAAGAAGAAACGTTCAGCAAGGTGTCTAGAAATTTATTATGGAGGATATGCAACAAAAAATCTACTAACTTCAATAGAGGTTTGATGCCTTTGAGAGAAGATAATTTGGTGATATCAACCATAATCATAATGGTGACTTGCCATATCAAGAGGAGGAATTAGATCCCTTCTATCAGGAAGTTTTAAGTGTCAAAGAGTCAATTTTGCATCAATTTGGTAGGGAATATTAGAGAAGTTAGGATTTTGGAGTAAATGTGGATTTATTGGATTTTGAGAGTCGCATGGAGCTAAATAAATTTATTAAGAGATTTCAAATAATAAAATAAAATTTTGAGCGTAAAGACATTCTTCAAGACAAGATGGTTAAATTTGCAAACATTAAATTTAAAAAGAATGGTACTGTAGGGGGGAATTTTGAAGCTCTTATGTTAGCACACAACTAAATTTGATCAGCTCATGCTGTAAATATGAGTTGTTGGAACTAGAAGAGCATACAATATCGATGCATCTTAGAAATTTGATGTATCTATTAGTAATGTGGTGTAGTTGTTGCTATATTGGTCATTACTTTATGTATAGATCCTAGTCCTGAAGGTGGAGAGACAACACAACACTTATCAGGTCTACACCTTTAAAATAGGGTTCAAACATCAAATCAAATGGTAAGAATACACCTAATAGAGCGACCAAACAGACCCAACCTGATGAGAAACAAACCTAGAGTAGATAAAAGGTGGAGCCCATCAACGCCTCAAAATTCTTCCTAATTTGGAAGTGCTTCGAGTGACATGACTTTGAGCACCTTCTGTTTGATTGCCCAAATGAGAAGATGTTCTATTTTACCAAGCAAAGATCTGTTAAGAAAATAGACATTGATGCTAAAGAAAAAAAGGACAAATGAGGTGAAAAGACAAAGAATGAAGCTTATTTAAACTTATGGACAGATCAAGCCTCATTCGTTTCCCCATGAGCTCTCGTTGTGTTTTATCCTTTCAGAGTTTCTTCCTATCAAACATGCTACAAATCAAAATTTTTTCTTGAACTTCTGTTTGCAATCAAGTGAGCTCCACCATGATAGACCCATCCCAATAGGGAGGAAGATTGTGTTCAAAAAATAAGAGTATGTGAAGCAAATGTGTTTGAGTAGTGACTCATTGATCTACATTCTATTTATATAAATTAAAAATTCCAAAATTCGAGAGAGTATTCATATTATGAGCATTTATTAAAAATCAAGGCCATTTATTAAATTCACTACCTCACTTATTCCCTTGTTCTTATCACAGTATAGTTTCTTAAGAGACAAGATAATCCAAGAATTAAATCTGTACAACTAAATTGCATGAATTTGAGCTAATAAGGAGCAAGTGAACCTTGTTTCGATTGTCAGCAAAGAGCTAGCTAGGCAGATGCATCCCAGAATGAACATTGGGATTGACTCGAGACATCAGAAGGTTGATAATGGGTCAACATGACACTCATGCTAGGGGCTGACAATGACCAGATGACCATTAGAGGCTAACCATGACTAGATGACCACCAGGGGACGACCACGACCAAACAGCTACCGGGGGTCAATCATGACCAAACAACCATTAGAGGCTCACTAAAACTAAATGACACCAGAGGACGATTAAGACCAGATGACTACTAGAGAGGGACACCAACGAGATTGTCATCAGGGGCCGACCACGATGAGACGACCACTATGGGCACACCATAAGAAGACTACCATTATAGGCTGACCACAACTAGAAGCCAACCTAAGAGACCAACCACTAAAGACTGATTATAGGGGACTTAGTTCGAGAGCTCTATCACCTTATCAAAACAATTAATAAGAATAAAAAACCCCAAAGATCTCGATTGTTTAGTAGGAATATGATCAGATTAGACGCTTATACATATAAATATCTAATGATGATGTAAGGTATTAAATGTAAGTAAGGATTTTGAACCCCCTTTCTTGGGGAAGCTTGAGTAATACAACTTTCAAATTGTCTTAAGCCCAGCTTGTGCTGGTTTTAACTCAAATGTCCCCTTTTTTTTCCTTTCTCTTCTTCTTGTGATTCAATGATAAATCTAGATTCAATAATAACTTTGCATAATTCTTTATAAATTAAGAAAGAATTTTGAATCGTTCGGATAAATATAATCATTTCACAATGTATATTGATCGGCATTAACCATTATCTCTCATCATAATAAGAAAAATATATGAAGTAGATTGCTCTTACAATAATTTTATGCCTAATATTTTAAAATTTTATTAATTAAAATTATTAAAAAATTTTATGATAAAAATTTCTCCTATTAAATTTTAGTGTCCCAAATCAAATACCATGGATTTATTAATGATAAAATTTATATTTTGTGGAACAAATTAGAACCTCTACATAAATTAGGTTTGAATGCTTTGTGAAAAAGAAAATCCGATTGAATACGTGGCAGTTCTGGATAGCTGAATGATGAACTTTCATGTTCGTCACTGACTTCCTGATTATAGAGCGTAGGTATTCAGAGATTCCTTTTTTTTTTTCCGGTGGGCGGCGTCTAAAGTGGAAACGGCTCTTAAACGTCGTGGGCGGCGAGACGACTTCAAAGAAAAGAAGACGACTTGTTCCAGGTACGAAATTGCCCTCTCTCCCTCTCTCCCTCTCTCCCTCTCTCCCTCTCTCCCTCTCTCATCCCCTTTCTACTTCATTGATCTTTCGTCTCGGGAAGTAGTTTCTCCTAAAATCGATCGGATTAGTTTGGACAATTAGATCCGGTGAGCAAGGAGAAACACTAGTCTTTTCAAGTAAAATTTCTGTAATTGACGGGCGATTTCTGCTGACTTTGCACTCAGCTTTATGGTTTATCTTTTCACGGACTAATAATCTTTATATTTCTGATTTTCTTCTAATTTTTTGATAACACAGTCTACCTTTTCCTGGAATCTTGTTTTCTGTTTTGAACGATCGTGGGGTTTTTTGGGTTTGAACCTGACTATTCCTGATGATGCAATACTTGTTTGATTTTCGATGATACTTTTTGATGTTTTAAAACTAATATTATATGTAAATTGTTTTTTGGATGAAGTTTATCGGCTGTTGAGAAATAGTTGACTTTTCTGGTTTCAGATCTAGAGTAAATTTCCTTTTGCTTGTTTTAATGGTTAGTCAAGATCTATGGATCCTGCAGGATTTCGCTCACTAATTATTAATCGATATTACTGGAACTTACAAATAGACTTAAATTATAAAATTTTGCTTTTTTTTTTTGCCTCTTCTTTGCTCTTCATTCATCATTCAATTCTTGTCGGGTCTCCAAATTCTTAAAATCAATCATCAATGAAAATTTACAAAATCTTCATGCTGGACCATGTTTTTTTGAAACTTGTGGCTCTGCTCGATGCTTTAGTTTATTTTTCTATTTCCAAAATTTGCAAATTTGTCAGCGATTTTGTGATGCATATTATGCAAAGTGAATGTTCAATTAAATACACCCTTAACATCTATTCTAGGACTTGAGTTACTTGTTTAATGTTCTTTACAAGATCTTTAAACTTTTCACTCTTTTGTTATCGGTTTGGATGGTTTCAGATGTTGTATCTTAAGTTTTTAGCATCAACTTCCTATTTTATCCTCTATGCATATTTGGTTTGTTTGTCTTGTCTTTTTGCAATGGTTGGAATATGTGAGCTCTTGATAAATGGTTAATATGGATAATGAAAGCTGTAAATGATTCAAAAGTGGTAACTAACTCTTTATGATAAATTACTTTATGTGATCATTTCTTCCAATATTTCATATGTTTAGATGATATGGTTATTAATTTTTTGGCCTTGGCTCCACATATGTTGTGGAGTTATGGAGGTTTAATATGGAACTTTTTTCTGTGAGGGAATTATTTTAATTAGTGCAGTTCTTTTCATTAGAAAATTTATGAATGATGCATGGCATGGAGATTTTATAGTTTTCTCGAAGCTATTTTGTAATTCGAGGAAAATTTGTAGGAGTTTTTTAAGAGTAAATGGAGTAGTGATAAGATTATGGAACATAGCTCAGGAGACCATGAAAGCATGATTCATGAACAAAGAAGCTCAACTATTGTTGGAATGATGATTTAAGATGTTGAAATAGAAAAGATAATTATTATGGAAAGCATAGGGCCAACCATGGCTTAAGCTCTATAATATGAAAGTTGACATTGATAAAACGAGTCACACATTAGAACTAAATGCTTGCAGTATGGTGATTTTAGATCGTGACCCAGTTACTTGGGACAAGACTAATGATTATTTGATAAGTTGTTGCAATCTTCTTTATTACATTCTTTCTAAGTAAGACCCTTGCTATTGTTGCGGTTTGACGCGTCCAGTCTTATATTTTATGGCCCATCTCATGCTTAAAGATGCATAACTCGATAGCTTGGTTATTATTTGTGGATTTACAGTTCCTCTAAAGTTCACTTTCCTGTTTGCATTCTCACCTTATGTGCTCAGTTTGTGTAAATTTTGTTAATACCGATATTTTTGTGGTAATGGTTAGTTTTTTTTGTCAGCATCACATTTAAAATGAGTCGAACTCATGATGGGCATCATGCTTCTTCTCCTTTTGGAAATCCATTCAAGCTGGTCTTTTCTAAGGGACCAAATCGTTCTTCAAAGCTACTGACTTTACTGAACTCTTTTGAGCAAAGTTTGGCAGAAGACATTAGAAAGCTCAAACCCAATGATACCTCAAAATTTCATAGCTTTATATGGTTGAGACAAGCCGTTGATGCACTAGTTGAGAGCCACAATAAATTTAAGTCGCTGATAATTGATCTGGAGTTCCCTGCTTCAGTCTGGGATGAGAAGTGGATTGAGTTATATTTGAATGATAGTTTGAATTTACTTGATGTTTGTATTGCATTGATTTCTGAGGTTTCCAGATTAGAGCAACATCAGGTCCTTCTTCGATATGCTTTACAGATTCTTAACTCCTGCAGTTCTCATCCTTCACCAGAGCAGCTACAACGAGCTGGTGAAGCTCTTCATGATTGGATACAGAAGCTTGATTCAAGGAGTTCAAAACTTGAAAATGCTCCATCCATCTTACAGGGAATGCTGGGAACACTTTCTTTGCCAAAGGTTAAAAATTCACCGAAGGGGAGGGTCTTGATGAGAGCATTGTATGCAGTGAAAATTGTGATGATGTTCATCGCCAGTGTTCTCTTAGCACTATTTTCAGGCTCCTCAAAGCCATTAATGGACATGCAAGTTCCAAATGATTTCTCATGGGCCATGGCTTTCAATGATCTGCAACTCGTTGTTAACAAGGAGCTGAAGGGTCGACTGTTGTTGGATAAGCCAGTAATATTAAATGAGCTGGGTGAAGTTCATGGATTTGCCAGGAGCCTAAATGCTGTGATGGTCACCATTACTCAAAAGAAAGATGAAAAGGAAATAGCCAGAAATAATGACGTTGAGGAAGTGAAAAGAAGATGCGAGGAACTAATTTTGGAGCTGAGTAAAAGTTCAGCACGTCTTTCCCATGAGTTAGAGCTTCTTGGAAAGAAGTTGAATGACTTCTTCGAGCTTATCATGTCAGGGCGTGATGGTCTTCTTGGTAGTTTAAGAACCTCAGAGGAAGGTAGAAAGCTGAAGTATTAGGAGGTTGATTTTGGTCCTTGCATGCTACTGGTGATATACACCTGGTAGCACTGATTTGTAGCCTGTTCAATGTTAAGGCCGGGGAAAGTTTGTTCCTTTAGAAGGAACAAACTTGAATTTAGGCCGTGGAAAGCCTGTTCAATTATAGGCCGGGGAAAGCTTGTTCCTTTAAAAGGAACAAACTTGAATTTAGATACAAATCGTAATGCAGCTGATCATATTGCTTATTTTGTATGGTCTGTAAGTTGGGTTCTCAAGCAAAAACTCTTATCGGGAAATCATTCTGTATGGTCTTTGTTTGTGTATATCTATTAATAAGAGTAGTGGTGATTAAGTGTCTGTATTATTGATAATTTTCTTTTCGCTAGGTTCTATGTTGCAGGCTTATCAGCTGGTTGATGCAAAGCTGGAGATTGCTTTGGGTTTTCAGAGTATTGGTTCCAATGCTATGTCTTGATGGTATGATTTCAGCCATGGTTCAATAGATTGCTTCAGATAGGTTCTGTTCTTATCTCATTATTTTAATCCCCGTGTTCAAGGGAACTTTCTGGCTTCCCAAGGCATTGGGTACATGCTTGGTGATCGAAAGCTGACAGTAAGAAATGTTTGTGTTTATTTATTTATTATTAATTATTTATTTTTTCCGGAAATGTGAGCAGAAATAGTAATATATGAGATTGGATTCCCAGACCTCACGGATAAGTGTGATAGAATTGTTTTTGTTGTTTTGGGAGCAAGTTTCGAGTTCTCATTTGAAATTATATATTTTATAGAAGCTCTGGTTGTTTATTGGATGAGATAAAAATTTAGTTCATAAGAGATTTGGCTTAAAAATCAATCTTTGCTCGTTCTTGTCAGTTCTTTGATGAAGCATTTCTTCTTATTTGATACATAAGATGCACGAGATCATTGTTTGAAAAAAGTATGATTGTTATCTAGCTAGAATTGAGGTTTTGGAAGGGCTTTTTAGGTTCTGGGCTGTTTAGTATAGATTTCTTATTTCTTTTTCATGATAACCTGTTGGTTTCGTATTTATTATTATTATCATTATTTTGTTGAGATTTCGGGTTGATTGACTCCTTTGTTCAGACGTAAAAGGTTAACTAAAGTCTGAGGTAAATTTACGTGAAATTGGAAGTTATCATGTTAGAATGTATCTTGTTAGATTGATGTGATTTGTTTATTGCTTTGATTTGGAATTATATATATTATTGGATTAAAGGTTGTGATGTTTGTGATCAATTTTTTTTGTAACTTATGTTTGTTGGAGAATTGAGTTCAAAATTTTCAACTTATTCCCGCACATCAACGCCGCATATCCTCCCTATGGCTGTAAACGAGCCGAGCCTGAGCGAGCTCAAGGTCGGTTTGTGTTCGGCTCGTTTGATACCAGCTCGTGTTCGAAATGGCTCGTGAAGGGTGTGTTCGTGTTCGGCTCGAATAATATTTTTCGGCTCGAGTTCGGCTTGCAATTGGAGGAATCAAAAGAGAGAGGAAAATGAAGAGGAAGAGGAAGAACAAACCCTAAGCTCTCGCCTTCGAAAGGAGGAGATGGCTCCGAAGAGGAGAGCGGCGAACACAAACGACAAACCCTAAGCTCTCGTGGTGGAATGCCTTTCGTGATTTTGAGAGGGAGTTAGAAGAGGTAGAAACAGCCGCCGAATGCCTTTTTCGCGATTTTGAGAGGAAGGGGAAGAGTCGGCGAGAGCTTAGGGTTTAATATATATATAACTTATTATATAAATATATAACTTATATTATATATTATAAATTATAATATAAATATTTATAAATATTAACGCAATTCGCGAGCTTAAATATATAACTTATATTATATAAATATATAATATTTATGTAAGTAATATTTATTAATAATTGGTTATATATTACCATTTATGGGATTTAATTTTTTTAAAATTTAATTTTTTTTAATTTTAAAAAATTTTAATTAATTATAATTTATAATGTTTAATTTTATGAATATGTATTATATATGTATGTATATTTATTTATTAATTTATTTTTTTGAGTCAATTCGAGCCGAACAAGAGCGAACAAATGTATGTTCGTGTTCAACTCGTTTATATTTCGAGCTTAACGAACGAGTCAAACACAAACTGTTTAACGAGGTGTTAATGAACAATGAGCCAAATTGACAGCCCTAATCCTCCGCACCTAAAATTACTCTGTCCATGGCCATTGAGCATTTCATCAATTTGAGGTCACCATAATATCATTAAATTAACATTTTATCAATTTGAGGTTATCATAATATCATCATAATATCACTAAATTAACATGTAAGTTTTGCATGTAACATTGTGATTATTATTGGGATGTGTGCGAGGGAGAGAATTTGAAATTTTTCGTAAAGTCAAAACTATAAATATCATAAACTCAATCTATTTAGCAGTCTACACGCTAACATGCATGATAGATACTTGTAGCAGAAGATGTGGAACGACCAATAAATCTTGTAGTCTTCATAAAAGATTAAAAATATTAGATTATCTAGAAGGAAGAAAAATATGTCATATTTAATAGCTAATAAGTTTTCTTTCAAAGTCTTAATTGCAACCACGAAAATATCAGTCTTCCTCTGCGAACGCCTTTCATATTAATTAAAAAAATGTTTTATTAAATGATTTTAACAAATGAGCAGGGCTAAGAGTTTAGGATCTAGTCATAGGGTTGACTATCCTAGAAGACTAGTGATAGGACTCACATCACTTAGAATTTTTTGTCACCTCTTAGATTCTTTTATGGAGTCTCATGTGGGTGGTGGTCTCAAACCCTCAACACTTGGTTTAGTTGGTTTAGACTAACATGGTGAGGCCCCAAAAAACGAGTTCTCATATGGTCACAAGGTCTTAGGGAATCCCTTTATGACTTGAACATTCACCTCACACCACATACACATTTAACACACACCACTAAAATTCACATACACTACATACATATTCTTGTATACCACATCACATACCCTACACAAAATTCACACACAACCCATATATTACTGCAATTTATACCTTCCCTACA